GAATCATGGAACACTACATCAAAAACTAATGATGTATGGTGATTAACATAACAATAAAAAATTTAAAAGAAAAGATAATAGGTGTTTAGTCACCAGTGAATAGCCCTGAAGTTAATCTGTAAAAGCTCCATGAGGATACAGATCTTTGTTTTGTTCACAGTGATTTACATAGTAGATGTTTAGCAGTATCGATGAAATGAACAAATGACTAAATCTCCCCTAAACACCATCCAGGTTTGATTCTGGAAAATATTTCCTTTTTCTTTGCCTCTGGGAAGATACAGCTAGGACAAGCACAAGAGTTGACCACTATCCAGATTTGAGCCAACCAGCATCCCCAGCTCAGCAGTCTCCTTGCCAAGGCACTGGGTGCTCGAGACACAAATGTGAATAAAACATGGTCCCTCTCCTCTAAGAGCTCATGGCTGGTGAGGAAGACATGGAGAAATAGAAATCTTTAATATGATGCAGTATTAGAAATACATAAAAGGTACACAGAAATACATAAAAGGAACAAACTAGCCTATAGTTACTAGGATGATGACTGAACTACATATTGAATGATAACTCAGCACTGAAGTGACTCACATGTGCATAAATAATAAATAATTTGGATGAGGGCCACAGGATAAAATAGTAACACTAATATGTATTGGGCACTTCCTGTATGTCCAGACTCTTTAAATATATTGGCTTATTTAATTCTCATTACAATCCTATCAGATATATATCATCATTATCACCATTGCACAGATAAGGAAGTAGCTTCCCAAGTTCAGGAGGCTTCCTAACTACAGAGGTGGGGTTTTAATGGAAAGGTCAGGCTCCAGGGTCTTCACCACTGTGCTACATCGTCTTTCAAGGGCAAGATAAGTCAGAGTTAGGGATGCCTGCGTGGCTCAGTTGGTTAAGGGTCTGCCTTTGGTTCAGGTCAGGATCCCAGGGTCCTGGGATCGAGCCCCGCATCGGGCTCCTTGCTCAGTGGGGAGCCTGCTTCCTCTGCCTGCCGCTCCCCCTGCTTGTGCTCTCTCTCTCTTTCCCTCTGACAAATAAATAGATAAGATCTCTTAAAAAAAAAAAAAGATAAGTCATAGTTAACTCAGAGTTAGCCTCTACCTCAGTATCTTTCAAAATATGACCTGAGCAACTACATCTATAGCTACACAAAATCACTCAGGTTTTCTCTTGAAAATGTAGACTTCTGAGCTCCAGCCCAGATTTACTGGATCAGAATCTTTGGTGAGTGGCGTCTAGGAATCTACATTTCAAAAACCCGCCCAACATTTATGAACAAGAGTTCACCATTATTTTATTACATTTATCACCAAGATTTTCTCTCAAAATAAAATGACCACATGATAGTAGCGTTAATAGAATGTATTAGAAATATATGTGCCTATATTATATATAATTATACATGAAATTTTAATCTGGTGAACAGCCAGATGAAGCCACACCATGATTAAAAACATGCCACCTCCAGGGTTCTCCAAACTACACAGCTTTCCCGAAATCACTGTGGTTCCTTGTTATTTTGCAATCAGGAGAGGAAAGATGAGGAGGTATGTCCCTTTTGCTACCAAATTTTTTTCTCATTAAACAGAACATGCAAAAACCCCAAAAGAAAAAAAAAAGTTAAAGGAAAGTGAAGGAAAAGAAAAGACCCATATTTCCATAAAAATAGGTCTGTTGTATTCTTCTTGTAAAGGATGCTGCTAATTACTACAGCCCACTTTCCTAAGGGTTACAAAGGACTGTATGTGCAAGTGTAGGGGTCTCAGTACCACCACTTATTCTATTATTTCTAAAGGAAAACGTGTCATGCATTCCATATAATAAAGCAAAAAAAGGGATGGGGAGGGGATATGGACCATGATCCAATTTTATCTTTCTTTTTTTTAACTAGGCTCCGTGCCCAATGTGGGACTTGAATTCACAACTCTGAGATCAAGACCTGAGCTGAGACCAAGAGTCAAATGCTCAACCAACTGAGCCACCCAGGTGCCCCCCATGATCCAATTTTAAAATCAGGATTTCCTAAGGGTTATATGAAACCTTACTAAGTCTAATTTCAACTGTTTTAGATCACATAGTGCTTTATTGAAGACACTATTGCCTACTGATTTCATGTGAAGACAATCAGAAGGGTCAATATTATGATGACTTGATTTGTATTTGTTCACTGACATCATATAATATCATTACTTGCCTTGCTGTTCAGAAAGTCTCTATGGTAAAATGGCTGTTGAGGTTACCAAGGGTACATATGACCCATAATTTGCCAAATGACTGCCATCAAGTGTTAATTTATCTGGCAAATGTTCTGTGCATATATCAACTGACAAAGAGTCTGTTTTAAGAGTGGTGCTTAATAGTTAAGTGAGAGGGACACCTGGGTGGCTCAGTCGGTTAAGCGGCTGCCTTCAGCCCGGGTCATGATCCCAGGGTCCTGGGATCGAGTCCCATATTGGGCTCCTTGCTCAGCAGGGAGTCTGCTTCTCCCTCTCTTTCCCTCTGCTTGTGCTCTCTCTGTCAAATAAATAATAAAATCTTAAAAAAAAATCATCTAAGTGAGAAAATTAGAAATTACCCATGCTTGAAAATATCACATTTTCCATTACTAACCAATACATTAAAAATAAAGCAGAGTTGATGAATAGGGAGCTCCTTATAACCTCTATAAAATTATTGTAAAATAAATTAATTTTGATATTTAAAATATACTAATTAACAAAGTATGTTGAAATAAGGATGTAGTTTTCCTATTCTCTGAGCAATGCCAAAAATATGAAGTGTAAAATATTTTAACTTCATGTTTCTATATTATACTATAAACAGTAGGAATATCTGCATAGAATTTAAAAGGGTTTGTAAATAAAAGATATTTCCAAGTAAGTAAGTTTTCATGCAAAATTATATCCAACTCTGTATTAATCAGGGTAATGGGAGCAAAGAACATCACAAATAAACCAAAATTATGGTTTAAAAAAATAATAAAAATAAGAAATTTAAACTATTAGTTAAAATGGCCTCTGACACTCATGCATGCATTTATCATTTTTAATCATTCTCTTAAAAGAATTACAATAATACTTGGATAGTATTTTGGGAACACAAAACATCACATTAAAATGTCTTTATAAGAAAGTGCCATAGGGGCACCTGGGTGGCTCAGTTGGTTAAGCAGCTGACTCTTGATTTCAGCTCAGGTCGTGACCTCAGGGTCTTTGGATCAGCCCCACATGGGGCACTGCGCTGAGCGCGGAGTCTGCTTCTTTCCCTCTCCCTCTGCCTCTTCCTCTTCCCCCGAATCACAAGTTTTCTCTCTCTCTTTCTCTAAAATAAATGAATAAATCTTAAAAAAAAAAAAAAAGAAAGTGCCATAGTTTACTTTATAACTTTAGTCTGTTTTCTTAAGGTAAACTATTATTTTAGTCTGTTTCTTAGCTGAGCTCCCTTTTTCAAATATTAGTGTTAATAAGAACAGAAAGGTCCTATTAATGATGGTAAAATGAACAAGGAAATGGACAAAGGGGAAGAAAGAAATATTAACATATACCAAATGCATACTGTACAACAGGCTATCTTTTATATAAATAATCACTTTTGATCTTTACAAAAGCCCCTGTATGGGAGTATATTATCCTAATTTCATAGATCAGAGAGATTAAGTAATTTGCTCAAAGTCACAGATACAGCAGGTGGCAGAGCTGTGTTATGAACTCAGTGAGGCTCCAGGAACCAATTTCAATAGCCACCCCATGCTTTCTCATGATTATTGCAGTGGATTT